GACGATTTTGATGATGTGAGTGTTAGTAATCACCCAAGGATGAAGCATTTTGAAAATTAGAAAAATTGAAAAATATTTATTGCCCTTTTTCTTGAAATCCCGTTCAATTTTAGCTTGTAAAAACTCTACAAGGTTCAATTATTGATAGACTTTGACGAAACTTGGTGTGAGCGTTTTCCCCTTGTTCTTGAAAACGCGTGTAATTTTTATCCCACAAACACTCTAGAAGGCACAATTCTTTATAGATTTTGATAAAACTTGATGTGAGTGTTATCATGAAGGATGAACCCTAACGAAAATCAGAGGAATCGAAAAATATTTAGTTATTAAGTTTTAGCCTGTAAACAGGCGCAATTCTTGACAGATTTCAAGTTCAAAAGAGGTGTAAGACTGAAGGTTGAATATTTCATACTAGTAATTGTTACTGTACTGCCAAATATTTTTATTTAAAATCAAAGCTGCCAGTGGTTGTATGTTATCTTTAAATTTCGCTGTAATATAAGACCTAGAATTTTAGTATTCTTTTACAGGGGTGAAGGTGATAGTTATATACAGTATAAAGCTATGATAATGTGTACGGGATTACACATGTTATTATTAATGTTTGAAATATTGGCATGTGATAATTTAGAATCTAATAATCATAGTTGGATTCTTGTCTTTATTCCATTATGGTTTATGTCTATTGTCTCTATAAGTATCTGTATTTGGTCTGTGAAGAATGAAAGAGCTTTTGAGGTAAGATATTGAGGAAGAGTATTTCAAACAACTTACAACTATATAGTGAGATTGTCCCTCTTAGTCTTGTCAATAATGCTTTATTGACAAAAAGGAAATCAAATATATCAACCTTGAAAATGTAAGCAAATTCTAAATAGAATACACAGTCAGATATGTACAAGGACTATATAACAACCAATAATTATACTAATCAATTCAGAAAATCAAGAAAATAGTGAACAAAACATTATTAATCTTTCTGTGTAAACCAAAAAAAACTTTATTTTTACAGATGGAATTATTTTGTTCTGTGAATATTCTCCAGTTTATATTCTTGGCGTTAAGATTAGATGAAATATTTCAGTGGAGTTGGGTGGTAAGATTGAATTATAATTATTTGAAGTGTATCATAGCATACATTGAATTAAGTTACATAATTCATTTATGTTGTGCTTAAATTTACATCAATACTGACTGAAAACATTGTTAATATATATATATTAATGTAATCCCCATTCATGGTTCCTGGTTCATCAAAGTATATATGTAATTCTATATTATAGATTTTGTGTATTGTATTAATATTGCTGGTACAAAGGATCTTTAGCAGTGAACCTAAGTGTTTTCCTTGTAAAATATAGTTTTTTTTCTTTCTTTTCTTGTGTATATTGTGTTTATGCTTTGTATTAATGATATAATTATATTTTATATTATAGATTGTGTTTATGCATATTATATCAATGATATGTATTTTATACCATATTTTGTGTTTCTACCTATTGTATTAATGATATATATTTTATATTATAGATTGTGTTAATACCTATTGTATTAATGATACATATTTTATATTATAGATTGTGTTAATACCTATTGTATTAATGATATATATTTTATATTATAGATTGTCTTTATGCCTATTGTATTAATGATATATATTTTATATTATAGATTGTCTTTATGCCTATTGTATTAATGATATATATTTTATATTATAGATTGTCTTTATGCCTATTGTATTAATGATATATATTTTATATTATAGATTGTGTTAATACCTATTGTATTAATGATATATATTTTATATTATAGATTGTGTTAATACCTATTGTATTAATGATATATATTTTATATAATAGAATGTCTTTATGCCTATTGTATTAATGATATATATTTTATATTATAGATTGTGTTAATACCTATTGTATTAATGATATATATTTTATATTATAGATTGTCTTTATACCTATTGTATTAATGATATATATTTTATATTATAGATTGTGTTAATACCTATTGTATTAATGATATATATTTTATATTATAGATTGTCTTTATGCCTATTGTATTAATGATATATATTTTATATAATAGAATGTCTTTATGCCTATTGTATTAATGATATATATTTTATATTATATATTGTGTTAATACCTATTGTATTAATGATATATATTTTATATTATAGATTGTGTTAATACCTATTGTATTAATGATATATATTTTATATAATAGAATGTCTTTATGCCTATTGTATTAATGATATATATTTTATATTATAGATTGTGTTAATACCTATTGTATTAATGATATATATTTTATATTATAGATTGTGTTAATACCTATTGTATTAATGATATATATTTTATATTATAGATTGTGTTAATACCTATTGTATTAATGATATATATTTTATATTATAGATTGTGTTAATACCTATTGTATTAATGATATATATTTTATATTATAGATTGTGTTAATACCTATTGTATTAATGATATATATTTTATATAATAGATTGTGTTAATACCTATTGTATTAATGATATATATTTTATATTATAGATTGTGTTAATACCTATTGTATTAATGATATATATTTTATATTATAGATTGTCTTTATGCCTATTGTATTAATGATATATATTTTATATTATAGATTGTCTTTATGCCTATTGTATTAATGATATATATTTTATATAATAGAATGTCTTTATGCCTATTGTATTAATGATATATATTTTATATTATAGATTGTGTTAATACCTATTGTATTAATGATATTTATTTTATATTATAGATTGTCTTTATGCCTATTGTATTAATGATATATATTTTATATTATAGATTGTCTTTACGCCTATTGTATTAATGATATATATTTTATATTATAGATTGTCTTTATACCTATATGGATTGTGATGTGTGTAACGTTGATTGGTCTGTTATATGCTATAGTATTAGCTATTATTTTGTTAAAGTCACCTGATATAATACCTGATCAAAGAAGAGGAAATATTTCGACTGCTATTGGATATTTCTTTCTTCTAGTTCCTTTGTTAGTTTTTGAGGTAGGTTTGTCTTTTTATCTGTGTAATAGATACATAACGTATATATTGTTGTTTATCCCAATTTCTTGTGTACATTGAAATGGAAAGGCCTATATAAAATGTGGAAAACCTGTCCTGCCTTCGAGACATTTGACTATTGTTTTGTTTTAAAATAACTTGAAAGTATCCTTTTTCTACTATCTCACTTGGTATAGCAATTTATTTGTATTCTGAAATTTGAAATGATTAACATTTTATGTAAAAAAGCATATTTCCCAATCCATTTCTTTATTAATATATTGTTCATAAAAGAATTTTGCAGAAAAAGGTTAATAGTACAGAGAAGAATTTGCAGCTCTTTTCATTGTTTTTCCCATCATTGCATTGTGTCTCACCCTCTATTTTCAGATATTACTGGCTAATAGATTAGATAATACCAATCACTTTAAATTCACTGCTATATCAGTTCCCTTATTATTATCTTTAGTCACTTTAATATGTTTATCTTTTGGCTCAAAAGGTGGAAACCATTGTAAGTATAGGCTTGTTTTTACACTACATTAAATTGGTCCAAACTGTATTATTTTTTTCTCAGTTTATACTTACATATGCTGATAAATGGTAAATTTCAAAAACCAGCCAAAGAAGTTTGGAAGATATCCCTATTTCTGAAATTTGTAACCTTCAAGATTTGTATAATATAAACATAATAATATACACATTATGTAAATATTATGTAAATGATAAATGTTCAGTATAAAGCTGGTGACTGTTTGATTTTCTTCATAATTTTCTTTTTTTGGAGGGCGTTTTCGTAAGCGAACGCCCTGCTTTGTTTTCGTATTGATTTTTTTTTTTTTCGTCTACGACAGGGCGGTCAAAAATAACATATGCATTATATTACCAGCCTTAATACAAACTTTTTAAACTAAAATAATTTGTACCATAAGTAACATGTTGGCCGCTATTTTGGTTTGCCTCATTTTGCAGAAATTGCTATTCAGAGACCATTTTTCATCCAATTTTTGTAACTTTTGTGTCAAACGATACGTTTAAGTCTGTCTACAATCCTTAAGCCCAACGCAGACGAGGAACATTTCTGTCGACGAACAAAAACATCAAACAAATATATTTGTTTTCCGTTATCCGCAGACGACGAACATTTAGCTCGAACAATACGCCAGTGCCACGGAAAATCACATGACCTCAAAATGGTGACGTCCAGAAGAAAATGTAAAATTGCATTAACTATTTTATTAATTTAAAAAAAGACGCCGACGTAGACGGCGAAATAGGAGCATTTGGGTCCGGATTCAACGTCTTAAAGAGCAGGGTGTGTTCGGCAACCTTTTAAATTTACCGGTTGTTTCCAGTGCTTGTGTTATTTCTTGCATCTCAGTGTACTTTATTTCTATCTGAATAGTCAGGCGAAGAAATAATAAACAAGCAGACAGATTGCGACCACATATCTACTAAAATCTGCTCCTCCTCCACAGTCCAAAATTTTGTGTTGGCTTCGATCGCTGATTGGTCTTTCATCGATGAATGTTCAGCGCTAATGTTCGTCGTTAACGCAGACGGCGAACAAAGATTTTTTTTCGGGAGGCGAACAATTTCAAAAAATCAAACATGTTTGATTTCACGAACAATTCTCACGAACATTTTTGTTGGTGTTTTTGTAATCCGCAGACGGTGAAAAAAATGATCGAAAGAAATATTTTTACGATTGTGCACTTAAAATGTTCCTCGTCTGCGTTGGGATTTAGGCAGCATAATTTTGATTTTCGTTTTTGCCTTCTTTGTTCGACTGGATGTTTTTTTTCAAAGTTTGAAGGCGTATATCTCATGACCTTGACCTTTGATTACCTTCATATTTACTATGATAATAATTTGTGACCTTGTCTATCTCATAACCTTTGGGGTCAGACAAATCTTTCCGATTTTACAGGGGTCTAAAAATGGACCATTTTGAGTCTTTGCAGTGCTATATCTCGGACCCTAATAGAGATATGGCAATAATTCTTTTCATTTTGTAATGTAAAGATTCTGAGCTTTCCAGTGATATATAACATGCATGCCTTACATGCAAATTCAAAATCCCATTCACTTAACATGGGACTATTATTAGATAAATTGGCTAATTAGATTAACCTGGCTGTCAACCCCAATAGAAATCAAAATTTAAGTTGTTTTAAAGACACCCTCCCTATATATTTCTTTAATTATGTTTTGCATCCAGTTAAGGTATATAAATAAGCTCTCAGGTGGATTGAACCCTGTTATACTGTAAGTTGAGCTTACAGAAGCACATTAAAGTTATACCCCCACTTAATTTCCCAACTTTCTTATTTCTTATCCAAATTTCACCAAACTTGGTATGTATGTGTATAATCCAATTCTAAATTTGATGGATATATCGAATTTGCGTAGTGCGCATGCGCATTACTAACTTTCTTATTTCTTATCCGAATTTCATCAAACTTAGTATGCATGTGTATAATCGAAGTCTAAATTTGATGGAAATATGGAAATTTTGTTGTGCGCATGCACTTTACCAACTTTCTTATTTCTTGTCCGAATTTCATCAAACTTGGTATGTATATGTATAATCCATTTCTAAATTTGATGGAAATATCGAATTTTTTTTGTGCGCATGCGCATTACCAACTTTCTTATTTCTTGTCCGAATTTCATCAAAATTGGTATGTATATGTGTAATCCAATTCTAAATTTGATGGAAATATTGAATTTTTGTTTTGCGCATGTGCGTTACCAAATTTCTTATTTCTTATCCTGATTTCATCAAACTTGGTCTTTATTTATTGACAAACATTCTTTTATTCCTAGTCAATATACATGAAACTCTAGGCACTTTTGAATATTTGATTCTAGAGATGCATAGAAGTTTTTAGATCAATGTAATTGCAATAAACCATCTTCGTATGTACCTGAATGTTGTAACACGCCCTCCATCACTACTGTTATTAGAACAGTTCTAGTTTTTTTTGTTTTTTTTCCAGGGTGGTTTGGAATCAGGAAAGATTTTTGTCAGTTTGTGTTAGGTGTGTGTCCATTTCTTCAGGAATATGGAAATATTTCATATAGTTTGCATAGTAATGACTCTGAAAATGACTCTAACAGAGGAGAAAACTCTCATGATAAAGCAAGTACTTCCTCTAAGAAAAAAGAGTTTGTGACTGATCAACCAAGAACTGTGGTGTCTGTTTTATCAATTGAAATGCCAGACTAGTGTCATTTTTTCATTTACTGACCTAAAAGCTGTGTTCAAAGAATGGATCAAGAATTGAAAGAAACTGTTGGCTACATGAGCCTGTGAAATCATGTAACATAGCTGCTAATTATAAACAGAAAGAGATTATGATCTCCATTTTATGAGTTTCATAATATTTGCTTTGATTTCTATCCTTCACCTCTGCACTGAATTTATATTTCATAGATTCTGTTCAGCCTTGACTTTCAACCAATTTTCATAGAACTTGGTTTGTTGGTATATTATAAAGAGTGAAGATTGACAAATTCAAATTTTAAACTATGAATAGTACATAGTATACCAATAAGAGTCCAATAATGGTATCATTTTGACTAATACTTTAATATGCTGGAAATATAACGTTTGAATTGAATATTATATGTTTGAATTATTTTATTTTGCCTCTCAGTTGTAAATAGATCATCATATTCATCCTATATTGTAGTTTCACCAAAAATATGTGTGTATAAGATGAGTGGATGATACATGATATATATAGTAAATTAATAAACAATTTATTATTTTTGAAAATAAACTTTTTGTATCAAAACATTAGTGAATTTCTGTTCTGAACCACATTCACAGGACTCTTGGTATATAGGTCAGGGCCGTATATACGACTCTGGTATTCGCTTTCTCTTAACTTCCCTCCCAAGTGCTGTTTAATGTAAGTTTTATCAGAAGTATGAGTCGAATTTGAAAAATGCGGAAAATTATGGGGAAAAAAGATTTTTTGATCACTTTTGTGGATTTGGATAATTTGATTACACCGATGACTCGTTGAGTGTACATTTGATTACGTATTTTCAAAAATGTAGAGCACAAAAGAATAAGCTCTTCCTTTGTACGGCTGGATGATCGTGTTTATTTCCGGGTTAGATAGGTCAATATCAGCGTATTTCCGTCTCTCTCTACATTATCAACATGGCAGTCACCAAGAAAACTAAACTATCCAGAGAAGAAGAACTTTTACTTCAAGATTTCAGCAGAAACGTATCGACAAAATCATCAGCTTTATTTTATGGAAATGCTTTGATAGTTTCTGCAATACCAATATGTAAGCTCTCATTTTTTATTACCTCAATATTTACACAAATTATTCTGCCACGTTGACATTTTTAATTTTTGGTTCCATCTTGAATGAATAACATCGTGGGCACATGGTGTTATTTTGGAACTGAGTTGCACAACTGCTGGCAGTATGTTAATTATTTGATCTAGGCTATATGATATATGTATTTCTCACACACAGTAGGCCTAATGTATAGGGTACTCTAGCTTAGGTTTAGACTAATTCTATCTATTTATGACTATAGTATATAGTATGATGTGTGCCAGATGGAAATCAATATTAATAGGCCTAATGGTTGATACTTAACAGTGAACCAGGTCTAGTTTCTTTTTCGCTATTTTGCTCTGGCAATTCTGTTTAACCTTGCTCGGTAATAAAAAGAATGGAATTAAAACAAACAATCTACCATGGAATTTTTAGGCTTAGGTAAGGATGGCCATATGACAATATGTTGATAATTGTCAAACAAGGTAAGGCTGCCTTTAGTTGAAAGGCCTCATTTAATTCCTCTACATTTTGTACTGTGCATGGGTCAAAAGAAGTGCCAGTTAAATAGCAAAATAGTAGAAAAGAAATCAGTCAGACAGATTCATGGCAAGTTATCCACTGCTTTGATGTTACATATTTTGCAATGATAAATATGCTATCATACTCATAGGCACATCAATTTGCTTTTTGTTTTAGGGAAGACAATTTTGAGCCAGAATTTGGGCAATTTTTTTTTATTTTATAGAATATTTAATATTTTAATTCATATAAAGAAAAGAAGCAAAAGTGATTCAACAGTAGACCTTGATAAGGTCGGTTAATGAATTATAAATAAAAATATATTCTAATTCTAGGGCTTTTTTGGAGAATTCACCAAATGGATTTATGGCAGTCTGCATTTTTATTTGTTATATTCTCTCTAGTTAGCACATATTTGGTGGCTTACGCATATAAAAATGTGAAATTTGTATTAAAACATTAGTAAGTGTTATCCTTTCTTAGTTGTGGAATGTGGCTAGGTTCTTTGAAGGCCTTCCAACATGAAATGGGGGGCGTATATTGGCGTCACTCATCTCCATTTGTCATCATTGCTCCTTATTACTCTAGGAGTCTAGAAACTTGATGTTATATAATGATGAGAAGGTAGTTTCAAAAAAGCACTTTTCTAAGTCACAAGGACTCGGTGTGAGCGTTTGTAGTCACCGAAGGATGAACTCAGAAAAAATCGAAAAATATTTAGTACTGTATTAGTTATTGCCCTTAGTCTTGAAAATGCATTAAATTTTAGCTGGTAACTGCTCTAGAAGGCACAATTCTTGATGGATTTTTAACTGTTCTATAGGAGTTATTGACCTCGTTCTTGAAAATGCATTCAGTTTTTATCTTGTAGACACTTAAAAGCTTGATTCTTGCCAGAATATTTCATACTGGTAATTGTTACTGTACTACAAAATATTTTTATATGAAATATATTACCTTGCCTGGCAAGCTATCTTTTTTCTTAAATTTAGTAAACATGATGTTATCACTTTACTTAAAATATTATACATACTATGCATAGTTTTGAAGACAACTATATTTTTAAAAAAGTTTCCCAAAAATTTATCAATGCCTTGTAAATAGTGAGATCCTTATTGGTATTAATGTACTTTTGTAATTGCTTTCTTTATTTTGATAGTATTGCCCAGAAACGAGAGGAGGGTATTACAAAAGAAATGATGAGCAAATTATCAGAAGATAAAGAAATGACAAAAAAAGAAAAAGATGAGAGGTTAGTTGTTATTTTTTTTTTATAAAATAATAATTGTTTGGTTGCTGAAACTGGTTCTATCTTTCAAATTCTATTCTCAATAATTTTTTTTTAAATCCTGCCATGAAAATTGAAAATATGGTACTGATATTTGGTCTGGTGTGGGTGTGAACTAAGACTAAGAAAAGGCCATGCTAGAGGTGCATAAATTTGTTGGAAGTATATATGTCAATACAGTTGCATTATGTAATATTATTATTATAAGTTAAGATCTCAGTGCCTTGAGTTTTTTATAATTGTTGAGGGATAGTTAATGACAATTTATGGCCTTTAGCCTAAGGCGGTCTAATGGCGCTTATCATCTGGGTTAATTTGTATTTCTGTTGGGTTTCAAATTCAATATACCGTTGCTGAATTACTTAACAAATGATGCTTTTGATTTCAGAGTGTTATGGAAGAAGAATGAAGTTGCTGATTATGAAGCCACAACATTCTCTATTTTCTACAACAATGCCCTGTATTTGGTTCTCCTTATAGTTTTCTCATTTTATATTCTTAAGAATATGAATCCATCAGTGTATCCTTTTACAGTATATCAACTATTAAACAGTATTATCACAAATAGTCAAAGTTGGACAATATCAGCTCAGAAATAACCACGTACTGCAATCCATTTATATTCCATTAATTCTTTGGAAACTGCGTATTTTTAGTGTAATAATTTAGCCAGTGCAAAGTCTATGTGGACTTTCAAAGCCTAATTAGTAGCACAACTTAAAATCTTAATTTCATATGGTAGATTTAAGTGTAGCTTACAAAATAAACCATATTAGTATCCTTAACTTACAATAGTAATTATATTTTATCTGTAGGTTCATCAGCAGGATTATTAGCTTTATTTTCTACAAGTTCCAAATAGAACTATTGGTGCACAATGTTACAACTATTGATGTAAAGTGTTACATATATTTCATTTCATTGACAACTTATTTTTAATTAAAATTCTCTAAATTATTATGGCTTATTTTTTCCATAACGAGATGAAGTTGAATTCTCTTGAATTTGATTTTAAATGACTTATGATCAAATTGCAAAGCTTTGAAACAAACTTGATGTCTTAGACAATTGACACATTAGTAAAGTCTTGATCATCTTATATGACATATGATTAAATCATGATTGCAGACATTTTTACTTAGAGAAGTAGGCCTATATTTATATTGAAGATGATTTTTTGAATTGGCATTGGCTAATGTTTACACAGTATCGGCTTTTGAAAGAAGTCCGATGACTTTAAATAAGTCCTCTTCAGTCATAATTCCAGTCAACCCAGCTGCAAATAGGTATAGATAATCTGGGAAAGATGGACGCCAAGGAGCAGCTAGTAGAAAAGTTCCTTAATTGTTATTGTAAAATATAGTTCTTTTTTTTTCTTTATAACCTGTAGGCCTACAATGAGACAAACGCCCATCTTTTAGTTTGACTAGTAACATGCAAGTTTATTATATATTTCAAAGGCTAATTTGGACAGCAACAATTGACAATAATATAGTTATTTCCCCTTTCCCTACATCTTGTCAATTCTAGCTCCTTGAAGTTTCTAATCTTTTTCACTGGAGAGTCCTAGACACAAACATTCAAGGTAGAGTTAAAGCTGATATGGTCAGTGAGTTTGATGGTTGTATAATAACATGATAATTAGTTCACTGTCATCATTTAAATTGGTATGTACGCATCAAAGGAAGATTAACTAGTAAGAAAACAACCAGGAGAAGATAGGCCTAGTGATCATAGGGTAGTGGAAACATCGTCATAGATACCACATCGTATCTTAAAGTTGAAATTAGTCAGTGTCCATTACTACATCATACTTGTATTATACACGTGTTGAAGCGTGAAGGCATTCGGCAATTCTCTGCAGCTTCCGTGAGCTGAATATGTTGCAGAGCACAACTCTGTAAATTTCTTGGAGGGCGCTCGATTGGAGAGTTCTGTTCAAATTCTGCCCCCAAAGGAACGGTATTAAAGCGGATAGGCCTTATTAGGTCACATGCAAAATTTTCACACCGGCTCCTTCTCCGCCACTTTGCATTTTGTCTGCACCTACAATTTTTTCGGCACATGGAATGCGTGACTCCGTTCCAACTTGTTTTTTTTTTATTGAACGTTCTGTTCAAATACAAACCGGAGGTAATGTAGGCCGATGGCGCCAAAATAAGCAAAAGTCATCCCTCAGATTTTGAAAAAATATTTGGTTTTGTTAAGTCATGATCATTAATTATTTAATTTTCCTGAATGAAATAGTTTGTTTAAAAAATAAGACACTTTCGAGAATATGATAGGCCTACTGACATCATCGAATATTCTTGAATATTGAATATTGTTTAATTTTGTTGTAGAAAATTTAAGAATTCAGCTGCTCGACATTTAACTAGTACCCCACAATATGATCATATCGATTCTCCGTGAGCTCCACTGGTTGCCTATATCTTCTAGAATTGATAATAAAATTATTTATTAACTTATAAATGTATCAATAATCTTGCTCCGCCGTAAGCTATTTAAGTAATCAGCCCATGAGAAACCTTCGATCGAGTAGCCCCTGATGATAGATTTCTTGTTGAACGTAATGCTAGGCAGAAGATGTATGGAGAGAGTGCATTTCCATAATTAAGGACTTCCTAACTTTGGAATAAACTTCCATTTTCGCCCAGAAACAATCCTTCATTTTCAGTTTTTAAATCCAAATTTAAAACACATCAATTTATTGTTGCCTTCATGTAGATTTTTATGGAATATTTCAATGATATTTTACGGAACTATTTTACTGCGGTTTTTATTGAATTTTCGTAACTACACTTCTTGCAATTAAGCTTTTCTTACTAGGGCCTATATTACTTACATCTTATCTTATATATTACCCGATGTATTTACTCTTGTTTTCTTTTTATGTATTTTAAAATGTATGTCTTATTGTAAAACGCATCACCTCGATGTGAGCGAAAGTACTTCGTCAATTTATTTCCACCTATTCATTAATTCTTGGTTGCCATAAACCACCATTTCCACAACTCGATTCTTAATTACATTGCCATAAACCAATATTTTCACAGCTCCATTCTTTAGTAAAATCCCATAAACCACCATTTTCGCAACTCGATTTTTAGTTACATTGCCACATTTTCACAGCCCCATTCTTAGTTACATAGCCATAAAACAACAGCTCCATTCGTGGTTAGGCCTACATTACTGTCAACAACCAATTTTACGGCTCCACTCTTGTTACATTTCTAACAACAATCATTTCCACAGCTTCATTCTTAGTTACATTGCCATATACAACCATTTGCACATAGTAGCGGTTTTAGGAGACATTAGTTGAACCGAGTAGGGGCCACAAAATTTTCCAGGGAGGGGGGCACAGACTATTCTCACAATGTATATTGTTAAAATATTTGAAAATGGAAGTAGGGGCCAAGCCGGGCAAGAAACGCCACTTTATTCACAGTTTCATTGTTATAAACCATCAATAACCATATTATCCTCGAGCCTAACAAGCTAAAACTTTATCATTAAATACATAATTTTGAAGTTGATTAATCCAGTAGGCTAGCTGAATTCTTATCTCTTAATTTGCACGCTTAATTCAACAGTTGTTATTGAAAATTGACATGTGTATACAAAAATGATAATTTGTACTGAAAACGATCATTCTTTTATAAACATTCGGTTTTCCAATTATTGAAGTAATAGACTCTTTGCCAAATATATCCTCAAATACAAATCTACAAAAACAAATCTAGCTCAACATATCTTCAAATGCAAAACCTAAAACACATAACTCAACCAACATTATATTCAAATACAAATGTTCAATAACAAATCTCGCTCAACAAATCTTGCGAACTTGTATAAAAAGCCTTTCCGCCTTCCATAGAATTGAATCCTATTCCTCGGACACTTTCAGGATGAGTCTTCGTTAAGTGGCATGTGGCAGGGTAGTGTCTAAAACTTATGAGGAATAAATCAACTGAAAATGGTCAAGAATTTCGAATTCGGTAGAGCGTCGTACGCCTTAAACCAGAATTCTGTCCGGAGAGGCTGCAGGTGCTATGAGATCGAGCGAAATTTTTAAAATCCAAAAACTTCCCAAGGGAGCGCTAATCGCTATCGCAGTGGGTGCTTAGGAGTAAGAGTTTAAACTTGAAATTTTTCTCAAGCTCCCCTGCCCCCGGATTTTCATTTGCTTCCCGTGGTCTTGAGCTAAGAATCTACTTGTCTTTCTGTGCCTACCAAAAATTTTGCTCATCTGAGTACGCGAGTATACAGTAAGCTTTGAGATGGTCCATATCTTCTAATTCATATGAATACACATGAATGAATTGCCACTGAAAATCCAGTTAAATTTCAAAAGTCATTCTGATATCAACAAGACTATTATTTGTCTATATATTGGATGGGGTGTAATACGATAGATACGAATTCGGTTAATATAGATATTCCAGACATTCTCAGAACATTCAGCTTTTCTTATATTTAGCTGTTCTATTTATTGTACACACCCCCGTCGGGTGGTGCCTTTCAATTACACTTTTACAACGGAAAATCTTTAAAATAATTCCAGTGTTAAAACTGTTGAATAGTTTCATATCATTTCCATTTTATAATCTAAATAAAGTTTCTATTCATGAGTAATCGACTGGTGTGCCGCTATAAAAACATTTCCGAGGGAAATACTGACTGTGTTAACGGGGGCGTGAAGGTGGTAACTCGAACTACTGAAGTTTGTAAAGACTCTTCGTTCGACTCTACTGCTACAAGAAAAGGGAGTCTTGTAAGATCGCCGTTCGGCCGAAGAGCTAAGACGGCAACTTAACACTATCTTTAGCAAAATTAGGTCGTATCAAACACATGAAATTATTTGTCAAAGGAGTTTACCTTTAGTGACAAAGGAATTTTAGGTGTTGCACAGGTGCGAGGACTGGGAATAGTTTCCCACCGGTAGTGTTAAGAAGAGATGGCAAGTGGGCTGTTATTTGGGCCCCACCGTGGGATAAACTCTCTCAGGATTTTATTTATTGCCTCAACATGTATTTTAGTATTTTTAACATCAATATTAGCAGTTGAACAAGGGGTAAGTAAAACTTTATTTATTGTTTGCAAATTTACATGTATAGGTTGTCTAACTGTTTTTTTTTTTTAATTTTTCTAAAAATACAATGAAGATGAGTGGAAATGTGTGTTGCAAATGAGTAACATTAAAAGGTTTCAATTTATGTTTATAAATATTTTGCTAAAAAGCAAAGGAAATAGCTAGAAACAAGCCTTAAAGTTTGTTAGTTATATAAAAGATAGTATATGAAATTGAGCGGATATTTGCTGACTGATCTATTTTTCCCTACATACCATGAAACCCAGTGTATTATATATGTAGACAAAAATTTCTCATTGTAGTATAAAGTTGATTCACGCTCCCAGTATATGAGATTTTATAAGTATTTAAGTCTTTACCTTTAAATATCATAAATAAGCTGTTTATTGAGTATTTTGCCTGTATATCTGCATTATCTACATGTAGACTTGTCTATAATAAAATATACTCTATGCCCTGTCTACTTTTCAGGTTAGTCATAACTATGCACACAGTTTAATATCCTTTTTTTTACACACATAACTTTTTTCTAGTGAAAATGCTATATAAATCTATAATTTAAAGTATAAATCCAGACTGATCATCAGCATAGAATATTACATGGCTATTTTCCCCGGTTCGTAATAATGTTTTGAATATCCATCAGTGGGTACAAATTTTATGACCTTGAATAATCCATTACAGTCAGTTCAGCTGTAAATTGGTATAGATAAATTTAGATAAGAGAGATCTACAGAACTTAATCTGTTATCCTTTGAATGCATACAAGTTCCAATGATGACTGATTTAACAGTTTATGCATTTAGATTTGTTGCCATTTTTTGCCTGGATTAATCAACAATAAAGTAGTCTATTTTAAGCAGGGGTAAGAACCTTTCAAAAAATGATTGAAAAGATTCTGGTAAAGATTTTATTCTCTTTTAACTATTTTTGCAAAATTTGAATTTCACAGTGTTCAGGTTCAAAGGCCTTGTTTATTATACTAGTTATTGAATGTGCATCTTGACTATGGTGGAATAAGCTGAATTTGAAATAAGGGCATAGGTAAAATAAATGGCCAATGAGTACAATAACCCTGTGTAGTGTACATCGTTAACACCTTTTAATTAATCACACTGTTAAAATAACAATACCATTAATTAACAACAAGGTGTTAACTTTTTTCTCATCCTCTTCAGTATTGATGGTGTTTTTCTTGGCTCAGCAGGAATCCCAATATTTTTCTTTTCACCCTTCTGCCAAATATATTTAGCGAATTCCTCCTTGCTAATGACCAATGCTTTTATATATCTGGATTAGATTCTGTATTTTGAACATTGCATTAAAAAGGAATGGTATGGTTTTTGAATTAATTAATGGGCAACATATTAGATAATACATCTTGTTAGATTGTTGACTCATCTAAATAAAAAACTAGGTTAAGATGATTTTCATTTACTTCTTATATTATCGTCTAAGAACATTTAATTTTCTTTAAAAGATACTGTACTACTGTTTCAGTAATATTGAAATTCAAGTGGTAGTCATACCCCCTACTTGAAAATTTCAACAGTCTTCTTCTCTAGTAGATAATTATTAATGAAAAGATAATGAAATTAAAATGATGTTGTAAGCAGATAACATGAACTGGTAGCGTTAAAAAACTGGCAGAAATACAGAAACATGAAGGAACTGTCATATTTTGTTCAAAGTTCATACCAACAATGGTTTGAGTTAGTGTTTGTTCTCATAACACAGACTTTTAAGGTACCAAAATAACAGATATATCCAAGGACAAATTTACAATGTAATTTACATAAGATTTGACTGCCGATTTTTTGTTAATGGAAGTTTTTAGCCTCTTTTTATATGATTTAGTCACATTTTGCTTATAAAACAACACAGAATTATATTTTAGATGATTACTTCTCACTCTAACGATTAAATTCTGCACCTTGGTTTGATGATAGAAAAACCATGCAACAAAAAATAGCACCATTTTAATGAGTTTTCAGCTAATGGGTGATAGATATTATATCCTTTGATTGGCAGAATATGAGTTCAACTGAAGTAACATAAAAATTATCATTGTTGAGAATGTTTTCAGACACAAATGCAATGAGTAACTGCTGTGGTACAAAAGAAAACTTCTCAGAATGTGCTTTAGGCTGTTCTGTTCAGAATTAAGGTACTATCCCAGGGTTATAAGTGTGAAATTTGTTTGGTAAATAGAAATCATTGGAATTCTACCAAAAGACTGTAGGTTAAGAATTACATATTGCTGAATTTGTGAATTTTTTGTTATTGCATCTACTTGCAGATATGAAAATTAAAGTTTCATGTCCATAAGTACCTACAACATGTTATAATATATTGCATGAATATCTTTATAGCACTCTGACAACTTACAGAGTTAAAGTATGGAATTTTGAAAGTTTCTGCAACATGTCTTTCCCATTAACTATATTATGATGTTGAAGAAGAAATACCAGTAAAGTGATGTGGGTGCAGTTTAGGTGGAGTGTTGGAGTAAAATATCTTGCTAGACATTATATTATGAAACATGATATATTTATTCTTGTAAAACCTGTCTTTATATAAATTCCCCAGTAAATGATGTTCTTTTCAAATGGACACTTTGATGGTTTAAGTAGACCAAGAAAGAATTTAGGACTTAAAGAATAGGGTTGAAAGATAAACAATATGAAGAATTAAATGTTATATAGGAACCACAGTGTAAATAAACTAATGTCCTAACAAATTGTAAAATAAGCAAATAAAATCAAACAACCCATGGTGTGTCAAACTATTTGGTACAAAACTCAGCATTTAATGGACTCCAGCTGAAGACTCCAAATTCCAGGAAACATGAATATAGGTCAGGTCATGGTTCATAAAGATACTACTATTTATATAAGGGGGGTTCATATTGGTTTGATATTAGGGTGGAAGGTCAAATTATATTTGATTAAGAGAACTAGAGGATTAATTATCTGTAACCAGTAATTAAACTGGCCTTTGTCACATTTACATTTTATCATTTTATTTCAAGAATAACAGTTATTTGCTTTTTGCTGTAAATACTTAACAATAAAGTACATTGCGAGCTACTGCAGATTAATCTGGCGTTTGTGGTAATAGATCACAATGTATGGTTTTGAAAGGTCTATCGTCTTCTTGCTAAAAAGTTTGATATCCAACTTAGTACTAAAACTGCAAGAATTCTGACTTATTATAGCTATGTTCTGCGTTGGTAACCAGGGTGTCCGAATGGTGCTTCAGACACATTTGGTGATTTTTACCATATTAACTGAATACCTTCTACACTCTATAATGTCTGGCATAAATACCAAATTAACATAACCACCATTGTTAAATGTTTGATCTAGGAGTGAGTTTAGGAGATAAAGTATAAGAAGTTGTAGCATTGGACCATCCATAAACAAAATCATTTAATCTTTGCAAGTGTGAAAATAGTTCTGTTATATTTTGCTTTCGATGTCAATGTATATCAAATAACGCTGCTTTCATTTCTCTTCTTTTCATAAACAAATTCTGTGTACATCTACAATCGAGACAGACTCATATAAGCTTCAAGCTTGTCTCTGTATCGCACCATTAATTCAGTAATATGTGTATTTGTTTGTAATAAATACTGTTTAAACTAAGTGTGAAAATAGACAGTTTGAAACTAAGCATTTCAATAAATTTTACTGTTGACCTTATTTGAAACAGCAGGCCATGGCCATAACATTTTTAAAAGAACACATGGAAACAAATGGGTAAAGTTTTGATTATTTTAGATGTAGACTCTCAGTGTTAGATGTAAACTATTAGTGTACTCTTTCTGAAGGAGATAAAAAAAGTAATAAAAATCATAAAATACATGTAAAAGTAATTTAGTCTTGATATGAAGTAGATAATTAATATTAGCTGAAACAATCTTGATAAATTATTTGTGCCTGGGTTAGACATGTTTTGGGTCAGTAACCTTCTCTTGTAACAGTAGTGTTTGACTGTTTCTTATTTAGTATATACATTCTCAACAGTGTTCTCATTTTACAACTTGTAATTTATTTATCCTGTGATTTTCACAATCTTTTGTTATAATTGTTTGCAAGCCTGCATTTCTGTTTTTTGTTTGTTTTGTTAAGCAAGGGCCTTATTCTAGAAAACTCAATTCCAGTTACCTGATTGGTCAATCATTAGAATTACAGACTGAACACACCTGTATAATTTGACTCTGTTTGTCTGGCCAGAAACGCCAGACAAATATATATGTGCAGGAGAATCATTCAGAAACAAGCAATGAGAAATTTGAGATAACTGCTTGGTCTGACATGCACAAATTAAAAAAGTTTTATCTCATTTTATCCTGTCATTACTCATTTCCATTTATACATAAATAGACATATTTCATTAGTTAAAAAATGTGCTGAAACGAGTATTGGTATAATGTGAATGTATATCATATAATTGTATTCTCACTGTTCAAGTCAACACAGCTGTGAACATTGTACCCATAATCCAGGAAAGATCATTACGAAGAGGGTCAACAAGGAACACCTGGTAGACAGAAGCCCTGGAAACATGGTTCCTACCTATAAAATGTTATGCAAAGTTTATGAGAGTGATTTCAAAGGTTTTTTTTTCATATTGCAAGCATTCTCCAGTTGTTTTTACCCCAAATTGTTGAAAATGAATATAAGAAGTGGTATAAGATTGGGGAGTGTCTAGAATAGGTCATGTTTTTTATATAACTAGTTGTGTAGAGTGTAGTGTATATGTTTTGAGACTGTGCCAGTAAACTGTGATTCATCGGAGTGAATTTTAACCACTTTTTAACATATGGGAAGTGAATGAACCTATGAGCTATTCTTTCACTATTCTAAATTTTAATACTTTTCACGTGTTTCAAACTTCTATTCAAGGAACTTTTCCAGACAAACATACTTTTAAATGCAGTTTTGTTCAATTTTTAGATTTTACAGCATGACATTTCGTCATAATTTTTACATATATAAAACCAAATATAATTCTGGATATTTCCAACAATCCTATTCAACTCATATTTAATCTAAATATTTCAAGCTAAATACACCAATTAATTGAGCATGAAATTTGGTTTTTTTTAAAAGGTTCATCAGTTGTCTGCTATATGTCTGCTTCTATTTCCACTAATGCTTCTTCTATTTCCTTTTCTGCTTCTTCTATTTCCACTTCTACTTCCTCTATTTAAACTTCTTCTTCTTCTATTTCCACCTCTGCTTCTTCTATTTCCACCTCTGCTTCCTCTATTTCCACTTCTGATTCTTCTCCTTCTACTACTGGCTGGCATGGAAAAAGCTTCTAGTCGTTTGGATGGGACAATAAACCGAGCCTGTGTGCTATAGTTTGTGCACGTTAAAGATCCTTCAATAGTTGGAAATAAAAAAAGGGTAGACTAATGCCGCTGTCCTGGCAAAATTTCCCCTCATTGCACCCTGCATGCCATCGCCCATCTTCATAAGCCCACATGGTGCAGAAAAATGTAAAACTACATTCATTCCATTTCAATTCTATTTCCACTACTGCTTCTTCTATTTCCACTTCTGCTTCCTCTACTTTTGCTTCTTCTTTTTCTACTACTGCTTCTTCTATTTCCACTACTACTTCTTCTATTGCCACTTCTGTTTCCTCTAGTTCTGCTTCTTCTATTGCCACTTCTGTTTCTTCTATTGCCACTTCTGTTTCTTCTATGTCCACTACTTTTTCTTCTATTGCCACTTCTGTTTCTTCGATTTCCACAACTGCTTCTTCTAATTCCAATCTGTTTTGAATGTCAAAATGCATCAAAATTGGATTGAGAACATTAGAGTTTCAATTTAATTTTGATGGAACTTTGTATGCAAATGTATATTGATGACAATTGAAACAGCTTGATATCTATTAGATTTTTGTCATTCTTTGTTTCTCCTATTTTCCCTTCTTCTATTTTACTTCTCAGAAAAAAGTTATTTAAGATATTTGATTGTTTGGTAAAGAATGAAGAAAGGTTGTGAGGGTGGAAGTATACTGTATTGAACCCTAGACAAGGTTTAAAACGTGAAAGGTTGAAGTATTAAGTAAATCTGTAGACCAATCTTAAAATCATCAGATCAGACTAATCTTTTCCATCTGTTGCTTGAAATTCCACACATTTGTATTACTACTGGTAGTTATCTAGTAGCTTAACAAGTTCAACTGTAACTGGTGTAATTCTTCTGACAAATCAAAGACTATTTTTTCTTTACAACTGGCTAACATTTGAACCACCATGACACATCATACATAACATGGTTCACAAGGTACATAATGAAACTGAATGTATCTGACAGTTTCTCTAAAGATAAGAGGAACACCACACACTCCTTTATATCTAATAAGGATAACCATCAAAACACGATTCTTTAAGGTCTAGAAATTTATTATCATCTAAACTATGTTGATAGCAAATTGTAGATAATCAAACTGTCTGATAAAATTTTAAGATCATTTTGTTTAAAGTTTGAAAAATGATTGATGATCTTTTGTTTGATAATATGGTATTCATTTACAACTTAGTTTACTTTTTCTTGCAGTGGTTATTGTACATTGTTATGCAATAATTGTTCTTACAAAATACATATGGTTAATGTTTGTATAATTTTAAGGTATTACAAAGAAAATGCATTGTTTTTAAGTCAATGGTGTTCTGTCTTTGATTTAGGAACTGATATTTGATAGGAGCTATGGAATAAAATGGCTATGGCGCCTGACTTATTTGTTATTTGCTTCTGCTAAGTAAACTAAAACTATGGAATTGGCCTGTGGAAACATATCTGAAAAAATATAATCATTTTATTTTTGATGGTTTTGTTAGTTACTAATGATATGATTATCTGATATTTTTTCAAGTGTTGGGAGAAACTCTAACCTAATTTGATAAGTATTAATGGTATGAATTAATACTGAAAATTGGCCCAGGAAGTCAATATGATTTCCATCTGAAATAAACATGTAGAAAAGGTTAATATTCCATCTGTTGTGGCCGAATTTGAATGAGAGAAGGAGACTTAGATGAGTTGTGAATTTTTATGTTTTTTTTTGTCATACATTCATTGGTCCTGTAGCCCTTTTTTTTTCAAGATTTCCAAATAATGGACATGGACAAAAAACACTTGTATTTTATGTCTTTCCGAAAACATAAAAGATATGAATATATTTGAAATAATTATAATTTCTGCTGAGTTGAATTTGAATTGACTGACGAAATATTTTATTTTTGCTGCTTATACTTTGTTTTGTCTAAAATGTGGGAAATAAGCTACTCCTAAGTTTGTGGGAAATAGTCAATTCCCTAAATGTTCCCAAGCCTCAAGTGCAGATGTTATCCATTTCTTGTACAAATAGACAAGAATTGTGAATAAGTTTCTGTTTTTAGATTGAAAAAAGGAGAGGTCTCCATGGAGACAGAATATGGTATATTATATTTAGTGATATTAGAAGATGTTTGACATATGTGATGTATGAGAAAGAATCTACATTGTTTACATCTCAAACTTTTCTCCTGGGTGCTTTATCCTTTCATTGAAATTTATTTTGTCAAATTTGTACTCAGTTATCAATGACAGTGATCATGAACTAAAACTAAAAAGAACAAAGTAAAACATAAGATATGGTAAGCAGGATATCAGTAATGATTGTATTATAGTTCCTTAAACTGTCGCTCTGACCTGGGGAGCTGTGGTGGCTCAGCAAAAAAGATCTGTCAATAGTTGAATAAGTGTAAATTAATGCTTATGTCCTAATGCTGTTTCTCTTCATTCCATTCTGATGCAATCTTCGTTAGCCCAACCAGGAGAAAGAAGGGAATATTCTTTAATTTCTTTGACCTAAGCCAGTGTTGACCTGGAAAATAGATTCACTTCAAGTGTATGCAACACTAAATTACCATTTAACAGAGAAGAGAATCGTAAAAAGAATCAATCTATAGGGTATTGAGTATTGTAAATGAAAAAATCCCTTTTTAAATTATTACAAAAGTAAAAGTACAAAATCTTTTGGTATAATGATAAAAGGAGTAAAAAGTAAGATATAAAAGTGGGACAAGTTGTCTGAGTGGAGTAGAATATGTCAATATTAGGTTTATCATTTACCTACTACACTTTAATTTATAGGTACACGACTTGAGATTATATGATTAAATCTTAGTTAGAAAAGTAAAGTTTTTTTTTATAAAGTTCAAAATGTTTTGTATCAATACTGCTTTGATGTCAAATATGCACTAGTTTTCCTTTCAGACCATTCAAATTTGTTTATCATTACTTATCATGTTTTTTTTACCATTCCATAATTTAAATCCCTAACCCTTGTCTGTATGTATTGTGAGTGGCTAGCCAGACGATGAAAACTTACTGAAAGTTTATCTTATAACTAAAGCCCCTTTTACACAAGGCCACTATTAAGCGTTCTGTTCTCGGTCCGGACCTGGCCACGATAAAATGTGCCCATTTACATTACAGTAAACTCCAGTGTTCTGAGAATGGTTCTTCAGTTGTACTGTAAATGAAAAGCGTTCTCGGCACAGCTATCTGGGGAATGCTTCTTGAAAAAGTTACGATAGCTTGCGAGGCAAGGTAACATATGCCCACTGGCAGCTGTCAGAAATGATAAAACAGTCTTTAGTGACTAAAGTACGAATTTTCTCATATTGAAGAAATTTTATTAGATTGAATTCAATTACATATATATATGCCAGTTATTTATGCTGAGTAATTCCACAAAATTTTTAAAAATCAATAACAATAACCCAAATACAACAAACAATTAAATCACACAGCTCTAATCAAGGGCCAAAAAACAACTTTTGAAGCGTGTTTACAAAGTCAAGGGCAATAACCCAAAAAACGTTCATCAAAAATATCTCAAGTTAGAACTTGTCCGAGATCATATCAATTCCAATGATCACACCAAGTGTCATCAAAATCGGTTGAAAACTGTAGCTTCTATTGTGCTCACAAACAAGTTTTGACATGTTTTTCATAAGTCAAGGGCAATAACTCAAAAACCGTTCATCGAAAATGCGTCAAGTTAGCACTTGTCTGAGATCTTATTAATTCCAATGATCATAACAAGTGTGATCAAAATTGGTTGAAAACTCTAGTTTTTATAGTGCTCACTAAAAACATTTTGACGCGTTTTTAGAAAGTCAAGGGCAATAAAATCAAAAACTGTTCATCGAAAATGCATCAAGTTAGAACTTGTCCGAGATCTTATCAATTCCAATAATCACACCAAGTTTCATCAGAATCGGTTGAAAACTGAAGTTTCTATTGTGCTCATGAACAAATTTTGACGCGTTTTAACAAAGTCAAGGGCAATTACTCAAAAACCATTCATTGAAAATGCATCAAGTAAGAACTTGTCTGAGATCTTATCACATTCCAATGATCACACCAAGTTTCATCAGAATCAGTTGAAAACTGTAGCTTCAATCCTGCTCATGAACTATTTTTAACAAATTTCAAGGCGCTCTAAGTCAAAGGCAATATCTCAAAAACCGTTCATCGAAAATAATTCAAATTCGAATTTGACCGAGATCTTATCAATCTAAAGCATCACACCAAGTTTTATCAAAATCAGATAAAAACTGTAGTCTCTATAGTGCTCACAAGAAATGTTGACCGACGGACAGGGGCCATGACAATATACGACCACATATTCATGTGGGCGTATAAGAATTAACCTAAGATGTCATGGAAGACATCTGGATGTAATCAACAATTTTTCTGAATAATGAGGAAATTCCGCAGGAATGCAGCATGCACAGTAAAACGTTCCAGTTACCAATTTATCAAGTCCGTTCTGAGAACCGTTTCGAGAATTGGAACAGATCTCAGAACGCTCGACCGTTAACATTACACAAAATCTATCTGATTGGTTTTGAGAATCGTTCTGAGAACGGACAAATTTGGTAATATAAAAGGGGGTTTAGTTAAGGTAATAGACACTGGTCTCACAGATGCCTTTCTGCTGAATTCAAACAGTTATTATACAATGGAATAAAAACTGAAAGGAATGAGAATATATGCAGTATAAATCTGGATAACCTGTTTCATTGAGGAAAAAATTCAAAAAAATTTGATAGTGTTTTTGTGATGCTTAAACTAAACAAATCAATCGCCATATATAAAATTTGTTTGTAATGCTAGTTGTTCCAAGGAATAATCCATAGTCTCTTCCTCTTTACTTCATCAGGACAATGTTCTGACTTTAAAACACAACCTTTATTTATTCTATAATATTTTGAATTTGCCTTCTGTAACATGTGCATTTCATATCAAATATGACCTGAATAGAACATGTTTAGAGTCATTATGTACAATTTAAAGAGATTCTAATTATTGTTGATAATTCTGAATTCTTCAAGCATAAAATTACTATATTTACCCTTGCTGCTTATCTATTATGTGAAAGTTTCTCTGCAGGGACTGTTTGTTGTAATTATATTTTAAGTCTACAAATATTATATATGTACTGTAACAATTAGTTGGGCCTATTTAAGACACTCCTGTTATGAAAAATTGCATTTTGATTTTCTTCTACATGTATTTTCAATCGAGTTCACATCTCTTCAAACATGTCATTTTGGAGATCCATATGGAGAATTAAGGAGTTATAGTTTCACAATATTGGCTTTGAGAACCAGATCCTTTGTTCTGTAGAAAGTCTAACATGAGGAAATGTTTGCATCAGTGCTCTTAGGTTAACTGAATCCAGCAATTGATCAGATTCTCCCAGAGAACCATGGTGTTCTGCTTATTTATTTGCATGACATATCAAAATAAACCTTACGGTTTTTGTTGAGATATAGAACATGTTGTGTTGTTTGAAAATGGTGCTGTTCTATAAGTTGTTTTGTATGAAATACGTAAATAAACCTAACTGTCTCTGTTGTGCTATATAAAGCATGTTGTGTTGGTTAAAAATCAGCTGCCTGGTGTTGTTCTACAAGTTGTTTTGTATGAAATACGTAAATAAACCTGACTGTTTCTGTTGTGCTATATAAAGCATGTTGTGTTGGTTAAAAATCAGCTGGCTGGTGTTGTTCTATAAGTTGTTTTGTATGAAATACGTAAATAAACCTAACTGTCTCTGTTGTGATATATAAAGCATGTTGTGTTGGTTAAAAATCAGCTGCCTGGTGTTGTTCTACAAGTTGGTTTGTATGAAATACCTAAATAAACCTGACTGTTTTTGTTGTGATATATAAAGCATGTTGTGTTCGTTAAAAATCAGCTGTCTGGTGTTGTTCTATAAGTTGTTTTGTATGAAATACCTAAATAAACCTGACTGTTTTTGTTGTGATATATAAAGCATGTTGTGTTGGTTAAAAATCAGCTGCCTGGTGTTGTTCTATAAGTTGTTTTGTATGAAATACCTAAATAAAAAATCAGCTGCCTGGTGTTGTCTATAAGTTGTTTTGTATGAAATACGTAAATAAACCTAACTGTCTCTGTTGTGATATATAAAGCATGTTGTGTTGGTTAAAAATCAGCTGCCTGGTGTTGTTCTATAAGTTGTTTTGTATGAAATACGTAAATAAACCTGACTGTTTCTGTTGTGCTATATAAAGCATGTTGTGTTGGTTAAAAATCAGCTGTCTGGTGTTGTTCTATGAGTTGTTTTGTATGAAATACCTAAATAAACCTGACTGTTTTTGTTGTGATATATAAAGCATGTTGTGTTGGTTAAAAATCAGCTGCCTGGTGTTGTTCTATAAGTTGTTTTGTATGAAATACCTAAATAAACCTGACTGTTTTTGTTGTGATATATAAAGCATGTTGTGTTGGTTAAAAATCAGCTGCCTGGTGTTGTTCTATAAGTTGTTTTGTATGAAATACCTAAATAAACCTGATTGTTTCTGTTGTGATATATAAAGCATGTTGTGTTGGTTAAAAATCAGCTGCCTGGTGTTGTCTATAAGTTGTTTTGTATGAAATACGTAAATAAACCTAACTGTCTCTGTTGTGATATATAAAGCATGTTGTGTTGGTTAAAAATCAGCTGTCTGGTGTTGTTCTACAAGATGTTTTGTATGAAATACCTAAATAAACCTGACTGTTTCTGTTGTGCTATATAAAGCATGTTGTGTTGGTTAAAAATCAGCTGTCTGGTGTTGTTCTATAAGTTGTTTTGTATGAAATACCTAAATAAACCTGACTGTTTTTGTTGTGATATATAAAGCATGTTGTGTTGGTTAAAAATCAGCTGCCTGGTGTTGTTCTACAAGTTGTTTTGTATGAAATACCTAAATAAACCTGACTGTTTTTGTTGTGATATATAAAGCATGTTGTGTTGGTTAAAAATCAGCTGCCTGGTGTTGTTCTACAAGTTGTTTTGTATGAAATACCTAAATAAACCTGACTGTTTTTGTTGTGATATATAAAGCATGTTGTGTTGGTTAAAAATCAGCTGCCTGGTGTTGTTCTATAAGTTGTTTTGTATGAAATACCTAAATAAACCTGACTGTTTTTGTTGTGATATATAAAGCATGTTGTGTTCGTTAAAAATCAGCTGCCTGATGTTGTTCTATAAGTTGTTTTATATGAAATACCTAAATAAACCTGACTGTTTTTGTTGTGATATAGAGGATGTTGTGTTTGAATCTCAACTGCTTGGTGCTATTCTGTCAGTTTTAATGATATATCATAATATTTTTGTACACCTTTCTGTGCTTTCTGTGTGGTTAGAAACACTCCCTAAATTATGTTGTCTACATTAATATTGGCTTCTTCTCAATTGAACTACTTTTGCTTTTTTAGACAATACTGCCTGGTGTTTTTTTAGGTTTTCTTTAATGTTAGAAACAGTTAACTGAAGTTTCTGACAATGATGTATTTGTAACTTTAGCTATTTTTGTGTCACGAATTCAGTGGTGTAATGAATTCAGATAGACATGTCAAGCCAGATTACAGGATACTGAATATAGTAGGTCTGTATTTACTAATAGTCCCAAGAGCATGGTGGGTGTATTTGTTTGATGTAAAAGTAAACAAATGAGGGTTACTGACCTCAGAAGTTTTATGCGCATCAGACTAAATACTAATAGAAATTCAAACTATATGAAGTTAGAATTAAATAAATAATTGTATAAATAGTGTCAGTGGATTATAGTAAATATGTGAAATATTTGAAACAGTTGTCTGGTTTCTAGTTTAGATTATGGTTTTGTAATTATTATTGACATGACAAATATATTAGTCTTGTTTTAGTTTGAATGTGGTAGGAGATATTGTTTACATAATTGTTGAAATGTACCAGTTATAATAATTTTAAGGAGATCATGGTACAATCTAAGGTGATATTTATTCTGTATATGATAGTATTTAGTAGGTAGAAATAGTTTGTGATGTAATTATTCTATATTTTATCAGTAAAATAACAGTATGGTTAAGATAAGAAGTGATAGAAATACATTTCACACATCTTATAACTTTTTAGGTCAACCTGAACACTTTTGGCTCCTTTTCAACTTCTGATTTGTTTATCCACACATCAAGTATCAAATCAGCTCTCTTTTATTATTTTTCAATAGATACCATTAGTTAAGATTAAAAATAACATTTTCTCTTAAAACAACAATGAATTGAATTTCAAATCAAATGAATTGTTCCAACGCTGAATTGCAATATTTTGTTGATTGTGGAATTCTAAATTTGGTTAATGAGTTTTTACAAACTGCAAGCCTATCTGGATGTCCCTTTTTGTATTTCTCTTGTGGGTGACTCCACTTGTTATCCTGTCAAGACTTCATGTAAACAACCAACCTACTATACAGTCAAGTAACCTAATTTCGTGGAAACCTATTATTCGTGGATTTCCAGAAATGATTAATAATTTACATGAGCGACCTTGTGCAACCTCTGCATTAGTTTGTTTTGATAAACACAGGTTTTCTCTACAATATCAGCTAGTAGAATGAATCCAGTAGTTTCAAGCAAGGTAAAATGTATTAATGTATACTTTGACAAA